CAGGGTAGCTGGCTGGTTTCCTTGAGGATGCTCATTAGTGCAGTAGTTCCATGTTGGTGGTAACAGCCTGGCAGGGCTGACTCTGCTCCAAGGTGGAGCTCAGAACAGCAGCAGCCCTTGGCAGGAGCTCCCAAGGCCACCAAGGGCATTGTACCCTCACTGTGTCCTTTACCTGAACAGGGCTGCTGAGGAGGAACCGAGGCTGGCAGGGGGGTTATTTCCTGCTGGTTTCATAAGTTCCTGTCAGGCCAGGCTGCTTTTGCTGTGAGAACAGCTGTTCAGACAGATGCTCTGGCCACCTCTGCCTCGGCGATGGTGTAGAAACCAGTTTGCATTTCCTTGCCTTCCAGAGGAGCAGTGTCAGGCAAATCCCTCCTCCAGCTTCACATGGAGCAGTGTCACTCTCCTGGCTGTGGCCTGGAGCTGGGTGATACCAGGGAGCCAGAAACACCAGAGGAACCTGTGTCTGTGCCAATCGTCCTAGCTGGCTGCCTGCCAGCAGAGCGAGCCTGGTGCTGCTCTGTTCACACACCTGTGTCAGGTGTCAGCCCAGGGGAACTTCTCGTGCTGCTGTGCTGCCCAGTGACCGCATGCCAGAGAGTCAGCAGTGTTTGGTGGAGTGACATGTTTTCACCTATCATATTGGAGGCAACAACAACAGAAGATACAGTTATCAGCTCTTTTGGGGGAGATATGAGGATAACAAAATGTCCTGTGAAGAGGGAGGAGCTGACCAGCTGACTATTCAGCCTGTAAGAGCGAGCCCGGGGCACGGTGCTGCCGGTGTCACTCCTGGGTGTGACTGTGCCACCACCTCTCTCCCCAGGGGCTGGAGTGGCTCTGCTCAACGACCACATTTACGTGGTCGGTGGGTTCGACGGGACAGCACATCTCTCCTCCGTGGAAGCCTACAACATCCGCACCGATTCCTGGACAACGGTAACGAGCATGACCACGCCCCGGTGCTACGTGGGGGCCACGGTGCTGCGGGGCCGGCTGTACGCCATCGCTGGGTAAGCACTGCTGGCTGCACGGCCCGGCCTGCAGCTGGGTAAGCACTGCTGGCTGCACGGCCCGGCCTGCAGCTGGGTAAGCACTGCTGGCTGCACGGCCCGGCCTGCAGCTGGGGAAGCACTGCTGGCCTGCACGGCCCGGCCTGCAGCTCTGTGCGCTGGAACGGGGGAGCTGAGGGGACGCAGCGGCTGCCCCATCTCAGCTGGCCGCTCCTCACACTGATATTTCAAGAGGGGACGGCCCACAGGGTCACTGTGCCCAACCAGGGCCCAGGCAGGTGGGAGAGCAGCAGCAGCAGACAGCAAGGGCAGCCTCATGCAGGCGTTCCATTCTGGGCCGTTCCTGCTCTGCGTGGCTGTCCAGCCTCCCAGGAAGGGCTCTGAATGCCTCAGCCTCTTCCTCCAATGCCATCCTTCACCTGTAACTTTCTGTCCTGGCAGATACGATGGCAACTCACTGCTGAGCAGCATCGAGTGCTACGATCCCATCATTGACAACTGGGAAGTGGTCACCTCCCTGGGGATGCAGCGCTGCGACGCAGGAGTCTGCGTCCTTCGGGAGAAGTGAGCAGGAGGGAACTCACAAAGAAGAACATTCTAAAAAGTCTCGGCTGGAGGAAGAGTCCCAAGTGATTTGCAGTGACTGTTCTTGAGAGTTGTGAATGCTGTGGGAATAGGCACCAGAAGAGCAGCTTTCTGTGCTGCTTGTGACTAGAGCATGTGCATAACCGTGTGATCTCAGCAGTCATTTGAAATCAGGGGCTCTATGGGAAGCTGGAGGAAGGGGGTGAGTGGGTCATGAGAAGCTGCACTCTCTGCTGTTCCTGTGGCTTAGTCTATGGGCAGAGCAGAGATGCCCCAGCCTGGCCTCAGCCAGCCTGGTGAGCCCTCCCAAGGACATGTACATACCACTGGGTCACCTCTTCAGCCACCACAGGACCCCGCGGGTCCTCGGGTCACTCTCAGCCACGTGGATGTGTGAGGGTGAATCCAGCTGCTCTTGTGTTCCAGCTTCAAATCATCATGTACATATGAATGTTCAAACGTGCTCCTTGAGCACACGTGGGTGCAGAGCCAGATTGGGTGAGTGTGTGTGAGGGGGGGCTGCAGTGTCGCTGTGTCTGCAGGTTCCTCCCAGGGCTGCACACAAAAGGAGTCGCAGGTTAAAGCTGTCAACTACTGAGACCCAGAAGCCTGAGGCCGCAGGGGCAGAGGGCAGGGGGGAAGCTCACTGCCTGCTGCAGAAGCAGGGCTGCAGTGTTTGTGCTCTTGATCAGGTGCTCAGCAAGGTTCTTCACATCGTACTTCCCTCAAGAAGCTTGAGAGCCCCAGCTGCAAAGCGCTGCCATCTGTGGCACCAGGAGCCCTGCTGTGCTGCCTTTGCTCCCACCCTGCAGGGAGGTCACCTGAGCTGAGGCCATGACAGTAGGGACACAGTGGCTGCTGCCCACCAAGGTCTTGCTGGAGAGTGATTGGGGTTCATCCCTGGACACACCTGAGTCCAGCACACCCACGGCAGCCTTTCACTCAAGTTTATTGTGTTGGTTTTCCTTTTATCTAGGATTTTTCTGCTTCCGGGGCTGTTCTGGAGTAACATCCACGATTCCGTTTCGCCCTTTGTTCTCAGCTGTTTATTTCCCTGCCCACATCCTCTGACACTTGCTATCCCCCGCCTGCCCCAGGAGCCCCAGTGAGGGCTCCATCGCTGGCTCCCTGGAGCACTCCCTGCTCAGCATGTGTCCTGCCTCCTGGGAGCACAGGCTCCCCTCTGCCATCAGCTTGGCCCCACAGTGCCTGGGCTCTGTGTAGTGCTGCTCTTTGAGCTTCCTGCTGACTCCTTGCTTGGGGACAGGGTGGGATCAGGGACGTGGTAGCATGACTTATGCACTTTCAGCCAACGCTCTGAACCTTCTGCGTTTGTTTCTATCACACAAGTGTTCTGTGGTTTTGTTTCCTATGTTTATTTTCTAATGAAAGTATAAAGAATAAAATATTTCCTGAGCCAGTGGGAGTTTAGCTTCTGTTCTCTGCCTTCCAGACCTTTGCCTAACTACCGTGTAGAGGGTTTGTGCAAACCCTGTGTTAGACCAGGCAGCCACCTTCAGCTGTGACTCTGCCCTGCAGTTTCAGCCTGGTGGTGAAAAACAGCTGCTCCAGCTGTGAGATCCACAGCACAGAGACCAGCCAGGCCTGGAGGACTCGCTAACGGGGGGATTTGTTGCAAGGGGGAAAGACTGTGATTACAGTCGACAGCAGTAATTAGTCCTCAGGGGCTGAACAAGAGCCCAGGTGTGCCCAGGTACCCAAGAAGGCCAGTGGCACCTGGCTTGTACCAGGCAGCAGGACCAGGGCAGTGACCTGCGCTGGGCACTGCTGAGGCCTCTTGAATCCTGGAGTCAGTTCTGAGATTCTCACGACAAGAAAGACACTGAGGGGCTGGAGCGTGTCCAGAGAAGGGAACGGAGCTGGGGAAGGGTCTGGAGCAGCAGGAGCAGCTGAGGGAGCTGGGGGGGCTCAGCCTGGAGAAAAGGTGCTGTGTGGGGGGGTGCTGCTGAGCTTCTCACCACCCTCCTGCACCCGCTCCCCTCTCAGCTCTGCGAGGCCTGCGTTGGCTCCACACACACACAGGTGGTTCAGGAGCTCCCAGGCACTGTTCCTGCCTTAGAAATACTGGCACAAGTCACAGGGGAATGGGGGTATGTCTGCAATCTACACTCACCCCCCATCCCCTGGCAGGACTGCCTAGGCTGGAGTCTGAGGTGAGCAGCTGGATTGCTGATGAAATCCTGTACCTTTATGTAATACTTCAACATCAGTTCCCATTTCTGGCTTCTCCTGAGAGTTCTTGGCAGCAGACAGTGAGGAGACAGTGAGGCAGCAGGAGGATGGTGCATATTTACACTAAATGGCCAGGAAAAAAAGCAAGAATTGGAGCTCTTCTGGGATCTGGTTTACTCCCTAAAGAAGCAGTGGCTCAACCGAAAGGTCTCTTTCAGTCTTTTCAACCATACTAACAACAGTGGGCCATTAGCAGCAGGTCCTGAGACCAGCACACAGCCACAGGGGCTCAAAGGTGCTCAGTGAAGAGCAGTAGAGTCACTTGTGCCCCAGGACTTCTCCAGCACTGCTGCCTGTAAGCACTGGCACTGCCTCCTGCTTTGCCCGGGCTCTTTGGGGTCAGGCTGGTCTGTGCTTCCCTCTCCTGGGAAACACGTTGCTCCCAGTGTCAGCCCCCTGCCCCCTTCTGTGCACTCTGTGCTCCCCCAGTTTGGAGGGGGGTCTCTCTGTAAAAAGCAGCCATGTGAGCTGCTGTGTGCAGCAGCAACAGAGTGTACCCGGGCTCTCCCGAACGCTGATGCGACCACTGCACGCAAAATACCTGCAGCAGCTTCACAGAATCCCAGAATGGGTGAGGCTGGAAGGGACCACAGTGGGTCATGTGGCCCAACCTCCCCCAGGCAGGGTCATCCCTGAGCACACGGCACAGGATTGTGTCCAGACAGCTCTTGAATATCTCCAGTGAGGGAGACTTTGAAGGGAGACAATTTCCCTTTGTCCAGCATCAACTGAGCTCCTTCTTCTACCTCTGTGACAAAGTCAAGTGTCTCCAGACTCCCATTCCGGTAAGTGACGGTCCCTGATGGTCCCTGCGGGCCTGCACACGACAGACAGACCCTCGCTGCTGGCTGGTGGCACATCCCGGGATCACGTCGGGGGGGATCAGAATCCCAGACTGGTTTGGGTGGAAAGGGACCCTTCCATGGGCAGGGACACCTTCCACTGGACCAGTTCACTCCCAGCACCGTGGACACCCCCAGGGATGGAGGAGCCGGGTGGGACCACCCGGGGCGGGGGGGCAGGGCCGCGATGTCAGCGTAGCCCGTGGTGTGACGTCACAACCCGCGCACTGAGCGAGGGGCGGGGCCACGGCTGTGACGTCAGCTGCGCCTGTGACCTGACGTCACCGCCTCGCCCCGCCCGTCGGCCATGGCGGCGCCCTGCGCGGAGATGGAGCCGGCGGCGCCTCCTCCTTCCCCTCCTCCCGCTCCCACTCCCGCCGCCGCGCCGGGCTCGGCCGGGCTCGTGTGCGCGCAGGGCCGCAACCTGCGGGCGGTTCTGTGCCAGCGCTGCGGCTCCCGGGTGCTGCTGCCCGGCGCCGCCACCTTCGCCCGCCGTGAGGTACCGGGGGGTGCTGAGGGGAGCGGGGGGCGGGCGGTGCCGGGCGGGCGGTGACGGCCCCGTGGTGTCTCCGCAGCTCCTCCTGCCCGCCATGAGGAAGAAGGCGGCGGCGGCGGCGGCGGGAGGCGGCGGGGACGTGCTGCGGGAGCACTGGCTGGTGCGCGACATGTTCTCCTTCGAGAACGTGGGGTTCACCCGCGACGTGGGCAACGTGAAGTTCCTGGTGTGCGCCGACTGCGAGGCGGGGCCCATCGGCTGGCACTGCCTGGACGACAAGGACAGCTTCTACGTGGCTCTGGAACGCGTGGCCCACGAGTGACCGCGGCCCCGGGCACCGGGCTGGCAGCTGGGCTCGGCCGCCAGGAGCCCCGACAGCCCTGAGAGCCACAGCCCGGGCTGGGGCCCAGGGCACTGCCCACGGCTGGGCACCCCAGTGTCTGACTGACCACAGCCCGGCTGGGCACCCCAGTGTCTGACTGACCACAGCCCGGCTGGGCACCCCAGTGTCTGACTGACCACAGCCCGGCTGGGCACCCCAGTGTCTGACTGACCACAGCCCGGCTGGGCACCCCAGTGTCTGACTGACCACAGCCCGGCTGGGCAGCCCAGTGTCTGACTGACCACAGCCCGGCTGGGCACCCCAGTGTCTGACTGACCACAGCCCGGCTGGGCAGCCCAGTGTCTGACTGACCACAGCCCGGCTGGGCACCCCAGTGTCTGACTGACCACAGCCTGCCTGCCCTGTGGTGTGACTGACCCACAGCCTGACTGGTCGCCTCACGTGCCAGGTCCACAGGCTGAGCAACACCAGGAAGCGCAGCCCTGGCACAGCCAACTCCTCTCCCACACAGGAAGGATGGTGGTGGTGGGAGGGTCCCCTGTGACCTGCAGGGACATCTCACCATGACAGTTTTGCCAAATAACCCGATCTGCCACTGTCTGCTCTGTCGCTTCCCTCGTGGCTGCTGTTGCTCCAAGGTGCTGGGATGCCTCTCAGGCTGCTGGCTCTGTGGCACCGTGTGAATGTGGGCACTGGGAAGGGGCGAGGGGAGGACACGACTGCTGCACTGAGTTGTCGTGGCAGCTAAAATTGTCTGACTTACAGCCAGAGCAGTTGCGGGGTTTAAGGCTGAATCTTCTGCTCATTTTCAGAAGGAATGTTCCCTGCCCCAAGGCCTAACATTTACATTCTCCAGAATCTCATCCCACCTGACAGCTGTACACTGTGGGAGTGTGTGGCACCTGAAGTGAGTGTAAGGCATTCCAGCTAACGTGTGCAGTTCCATTAACTGAGTACCTGGAAACCAAACACAGTACAGGTAAAGCAGCTGAGAGCAGCACATAAAGAAAATGTGCCAGATCATAGTGTTTTCAGGCAGCAAGAGTGAAGAGGTTCCAGCCTGAAAAGGATCTGAATCATTGGACAGGCAGTGTGCAGTGACTGTATGTGCCAGTGCTGAAGCATGTCAGAGTAGCCACTTGTGTATGTTTTGAAGAAGTCAGGAAAGAGTTTCTCTTCTGTAAAAGCACCTGGGAAGAGCAATCTGGTATGTTGTGACCAGTTTTAGTCTCTGCCTTTTAAAAGCTGGGCACAAAGCTGACTGAAAATGGAAGGAGGCTGCAGCAGCTGTTACCTGCATTTATCGTGGCCCAGTTCATTCTCCATTGCAGACTCCAGACTGAGTGACAGAGCAGCTCTCCAGGGATGCTCTGGGGTCCCTGGTGCTCTGCCTCTGCTCATGAACACTTGGGTACTGACCCAGCTGTGAAGGCGCAGCTGTCACCGTGCTGGGATGATGGAGTTGTTTGGGCCACCAAACTCCAGGTGGGTTTTACCTGCAGATTGAGGACATTTCTGCCTCAAGGCTGTGCGAGGGACCTTCCCCCCTCTCCTCTAATGAAGCAGTTTTGTTGGCAGGAGTCTCTAAGGCAGGCACAGCCTTGGGCAAGGCTCCCGGAAAGGCCTCCTGACAGCGGGAGAGGGAGAAACAAGCCTCTTGTCCCTGCAGGATTTGAGCACCTGCACTTTTAAGATTTGGAGACTCTGCCTTAAATGTAGAACAACCAAGGTGCTGGCTGTGCTGGGGCTGCTCCATCAGGAACTTCTGCTGTGGGCAGTCAGGATTTTTCAGAGGAGGGAGAGGAGCAGAGCTGTAGTCTGGGGGCTGAGGCTCTTGCTGGAGCAGGAGGTGAATCCTGTGCTGTGCCCTTGTTAAATGTGTCAGATGCACATTTGACATGAAAACTGCTGCTTCCCTCCTGCCCTTCCTGTCTCTTAGCTCTCAGCCCAGTGACTCAACAGGTTCATCAAGGGGATGTACCTCAAAAGGCAGGAGAGCTTCACTTGGGTTCTGCACAGGCACAGCAAAATGGTGGGATCATGTCACTAATTTCACACTTTCACTTGGATTGTTGTCTGTTGGGGAACATGTTTTGACCTGTGATGCCTCAGTTATAGTCTGTGTTACTTAAATATAACATGTGCTGCACAAGCTTCATTTTGAAGGCACCACTGTGCAGAACAGGTTGTGGAAATCAGCTTGGCTAACGCTGAGTAACTGACCTTCAAAAAATAGTACATGTATGCTGATACTGGGGAGTAGTGGGTGGCACTGGGACGGAGCTGGGGGGTGGTGGCAGCTTTCCCAGTTAGTAGAACACTTCTGGATGGGTGGGAGACCTCAGGTCAAAGGCTTTCACATCAGAATGGCAGCGATTTGAATCCACCTCGGTGCAGCACTGCTCAGTGATGAGTGCTGGGAGCTCCTGCTGCCCTTTGGTGGGAGAGGGGAGGGGAGTCCTCCGTGGAATCCAGGTGTGCTTCCTGCTGACTCCTAAATATAGAACAGGAGCACACAGACTGTGGAAGTGCCAAGAAGAAATGAACAGTCTGATGGGAATTCTTGAGACGAAGCTTTTGTGCCATGAGATCTTGGAGATCTTTTCAGCCTCCTGTGCTGTTAGTGGAGCTTTGGGGGATGAATGTCCTGGTCAGCAGACATGGGGGAAGGGCTGCTGCTCCTGCACTGGACACACCACCAGGCTGGGGAGCTGCTGAAGTGCTGTGCTGTTCCTGTGTCAGCGAGAGCTAATAAAAATTCTGATAGACTTACAAATAAACATAATCTTTTCACTGCTTTTTATCCAGCATGTTGAAACACTGTTTTCCAGTTACCTGCAGTAACTCCTAGTTAAAAAGGATGGACAACCCTCAGGCACAGGAAGCACTTACATAAAGATCTGGAAAGGCTCATCTCTTGCAGCCCATTTTTCTGTATCAGCACCAAGACAGAGCAGAAACCCTTATTTCCACGTGCAAGTCACTTTAAATTAATTTGAAAATGGGTTCTTCTATTTAATGGCTGCATAGACTTGACTCCTAAGACCACTCTGTGTTGAGCTGTAGCAGTGCCATGACAGGGAACAGTAATAAACCTGTGCCCCTTGGGGAGGGGGAACAAATAATAACAATTTTGTCTAATTGCTTCCCAGTGTGGATTTAAAGCATGCCTGTTTGTATGGGTCAGGTGTTTATATCACATAAATGTGTTTAGTATGGTTAAAAGCAGACCTTGCTCTGCTCTGGCTCTGGTACTGACATGGGTTCACAGCCCCAGAGCCGTGGTCTGGGCTTGGCTGACAGTGGCACCCTGTGGAGCTTCACCCCTCTGCTCCCATTCCCACCCAAGCCCCTTCCTCGAGCAGCTGCTGAACCCTTTGTGTGTTCAGTTTGATAACATAGGCCAAAGCTTCTTTTCTTGGGCTGGTGGGCTGACCCATGGGAGTTTGAGCTTTGCAGCCTGTGAGATAATCCAGAGGCAATGGTAGGATGAAGGTTCTTCCCCCTTTCAGCAGCCAGAGGCTGTGAGATCATCTGAGCTGTCCTGGAGACCTGCCACAAGTCATGCCTTGCACAGACTCACAATCACACTCTTCCCTAAATTAAGTGCATTTCACTGATCAGGTAAGGGCTGCTTGGAGCAGGGACTGGAATTCAACACTCCCTCTTTCCCCAGCTCTGCAAGTCAGCAAAAGGCCTTGGTGTCTGGGCCTGCCAACACCTGAGGTCTCTCCGGATTCCTCACGTCTTGCTGAGGAAATCTGTGGCAGAGCAGTGATGACAATATGGATTTTGAAGGAGTAGCTTGGAAGACTTTGCTGTTTTGCCTCCCTGCTGTGTTCCAGGGCTCTTTCATCCAGCTGGTCTGCATAGAGGCAGCCAGGAGGGGTTAAAGTGTGATCGTTGCAACACCTGCACTCACTCTTTGGAACCTGCTGCCTGCAGGTACAGAGGGGAGGGGCTCAGCAGAGTTCAGAGAAGAGCTGTGAGTTGATAAAGCAGGGCCAGCTTGGCCAGGAGGGGTGGTTGTGGTGTTCCCTGTCCTGCACAGCTCACCTTGCTGCTTTCCCTAAAACCTCTGTGTGAACAGGGGCTGCCCCATCAGCACAGGCAGTGCTGCAGGGGGAGTGTTTGGGGCAACAGGGATCTCTGAAATGTATTATGAATTCCTCTGAAGGCCATTTTACATGTCTGACATTACAGGAACAAAAGTAGGAGGAAAGGAAACAATGGAGAGGAAATAGCTTTGGGGTCCTTGGACAACTGGTGCAGGGAAAGCTTCCCTGCCTCCTGCAGAGTCAGGTTAATACAGGCCAAACTCTAAAATCAAAGAAACACTAAACCACCGAGAATTTTGCCAAAAACCACCGAGTATTTTGCAGCTGCTTGGGGACATGGAAGGAAACCACAGCAGATGAGTGGAACTTGCCATAAAAGTGCAGAGAGTACACGAGGGCTTTGATAAAAGCCAGCTTTGTTCTCCTTTCAACCAACACTTTTATGCATTTCAGCATAAATACTTGTGTGCTGAGTTGTGAGGCAGCCAGGTCTGTACAGGGCAGCTTTGGTAGGAGCACAGCGGGGCCCCTCAGTGCCGGGGAGGGGAGGGAAGGGGGGGATGGCAGCCCAGCAATCCAGGTGAGAGTTGCTGAGCTGTGGGGCTGTGCCCCTGGGGGGGGGAGAGAAGCCAGTTTTTGCAGGAGTGTTGGACTGTGCTCTGGAGTGAGTGCACCGGCGTCTGAAAACGACTTTACCGTGCACTGGGTGAAAATCAAGTGCTTTGCTCCCCACGTCCAATCCCTGAGGAAGAGTGATCAGGTTCTGGGGTTGCTGACATAACACTTCCATCCTCTGAGAGAGGGAAACGGTTCTGGAAAAAACATTTCTTGCATTTTTCCTAAAACCGAATCCAGCGTGGCACAATCCAACCCAGTGGTTGCTGCAATTCGACTTTTGAAATCCTGCACATCCAACAGTGGGAAAGCTACAGGGGTGCCAACAGCCTGTGTCAAAGGATCTGTCCCTTCAGCATCACAGGGGCACCTCCTGCGGGCTTCAGCTTTGGTTTCGGTTCAGACATGAACTGTCCAGATACAGCTTCTGCCTGGAGAAAGGCACAGTTGCCCTTCCCTCCTTGGCACAGTTCTGTCAGCCGTGGGCTGGGCTGGAGGGCACAGCCCTGGGCAGGCTGGTAGCCTGGAAATGCAGCTGGGCCTGGCGTGGGGCATGTGCTGCCCAGGCAGAGGAGGCCAAGGCAAAGAGCCAGAGCCACGTGTGTCCAGCAGCCCTGGGTGTGTCTGGCAGGACAGGGCAGAGCTGCAGGCAGGGTCTGTCCTTCACAAGTCTTCCAGGGCAATTTGTGAGTTGATGGGATCCTTTGGGAAGAGGCTGCTGCTGGGAGAGTTCCCTCCTGGATGTATTCATCCCCATCCCCCACCTCCCCTTGCTGGGGAAGCAGCAGGGAGTGTGTGTATGCTCAACTGGGCTTCTGCTCCCCCTTTCATGTTCCTTATCTTCCAGGAGGCTCTGAATTCCCTGGAGGAAGGGAGAGGGTTGATGCTGTGAGTGCAGAGGCAGAGCATTCCTCTCTGCTGCTGCCAGAGTCCCCTCTGCCATTGTTCCAACCCAGCTGGAAGAGATGCCCTGAGAGCAAGGGAAAATGGGCAAAGCCATGTCAGCACAGGTATCCTTCCCCTCCCGGAGCAGCTGGCTCTGCTCACTGCCTGGAATGCTGTGAACAGCAGGCTCTTTCCATGGCAAACATCCAGAACTGCAGCTCATGCAGAATCACTGGTTAATTTGGAATATCTGGCAGTGGAACATGAGGACGTGGCTTCAAGAACTTGTTGCCTCGTGCTTTCCTGGGAAGGGAGCGGCCTGTGCCCCGTGTGCTCTAAAACAGGCAGGACGACTCAGTTCTCCTTGCCAGGCCGTGGTAAGTCCAAGGGACTGGCACCAAAAAGGGCGGGAAGCCAAAAATGTCAGGACTCAGCGAACAGAACCCAACTGCCAAGGAGAAAGGATGCCTGGAGAGAGGAGCAGCTTCAGGCTCTGGAGGAGGAACCTCCCTCCATCAGGAATACCCAGGAGGGAGGGCTGTAGCTGCAGAGTCAGCAGCAATTTGGGGGCTCCGTGTCCATGGCAGCTCAATCTCTGCTGCAGCCACAGGTGCCCCAGTTTGGCTCTGGTGCCAATGCTCAACCTTCTCCAGGCTGAACAACCCCAGCTCTCCCACCTGTCTCCAGAGCACGAGCACGGGGGCTCTAGCCATCAGAGCATGTTTGTGGCCAAAAAAAAAAAAAAGGCCAATTCATGGCCCTAAAAAAGAGGCCGATTACTGTAGCAGTGCAGGACAAGATGTGTTTTCAGTACCTAAACCAGAAGTTGGTGATGGAGAACACAAAATTTATAGGCTAGGGACAGTTTAATCCCAGGTAACAAAGTGAACCTGGGCCAAGCAGTTTAACCAACACAGGTACCAAAGTCTGGCATCATTTGAAACAGGGGCACCATCCAGCACAGACACACAGCACCCCAATACAGAGAGGGCACGGCCAATAGGTGAGTGATTCAGGAGACCTTTGAAGTGTAAAGAAAAAACAAGTGCGGTTGATGGAGAGGCTGTTTCAGCTTTGACAAAGGTCAGGGGGAGGTTTGGTACCGAAGAGCAGCAGGGAAGGGCAGGAAGCAGCACTGGGAGAGTCTGGGCTGAAGCAGCATTTAAAGCGTGCAGGGGCGGGAGCAGCCCCGGTAATGTGGGCTTGCAGAGAGCAAAAAAAAGTAGGGCAGGTAGTCAAGTCCGTGCTTGCAGGAGCAGGATTAAAACAGTTGGATGAACAAATAATGTAAGATTTAAAACCAGAGAATGTATTGAAGGCCATTAAACCAAACTCTTACTTAAGGATTACTTCCAAGAAGCCAGGCTAATAGCACAGTGTGGTTACAAAGACAAGTGATCGAGGCAGAGAGTGCTGATATTAAACTTGCTGGTGAAATGCTAATCTGTGCACAGACACTGCTGCAAGTGCTCCGACTGTCACAGAGGGAGCCTCGCTAAACAAAAGCAGAGCCCAGCCCTTTGGGGTTCCACTCTGGCAACTCAGGCACATCCTGCACTTATTTGGACACTCCCTGCGGGGGAAGGACCAGGTATAAACAGGATTTAATCATCTCATTAGAGATACGCCCATTGCACACGTTCAGTGTTCTGGAAGGCAGGGATGCCTTCCCTTTTAAAACTACTCCGGCTATGTCTTCTGCACTCACCATTCCCATATTTAAGAATTCCCAGCCCATCTGGGTCAGGGAGTGTTTAGATCAGGAATTAATTCATCCCTGTCTAGTTGGATCGTTTTCAACTCTAAATGAAAGATATTTCTTGGCACCCAGTAAACCTTCCAAAAGCCCCATGGAGAATCCGTGGAGGTTTGGCCTGAAATCAGTGGATTAACCATTTCCACCTGGGAACATTCTCCCCAGATTGTTGCTCTGTTTGCTGAGTGCAGCACTGGAGATAAAATGTGCAGGTCTGTGTGATGAGATTCAAGGTTGTCGTGGTTTAGGAATGGTACTCCCCAGTTCAGTGCCCCCACCAAGACTCTCCCAAACCAGATGCCATTCGCTCCCCTCCCTTTCCGTCCTCTTCTTGCCCTGCTCTGGGGATGGGGTTGAGAACTGGGGGCACAAAAGGTTAAAATCACGGGTTAAGATGAGTTTCCTGAAAACAACGAGATAAGAAAACGACCAGTAACAGCAACAATATTAATAACAAAAGATATGAGACATAGAAACGATTTACACAGAA